AAACACCTAAGAATACGAGTACATTGTAGTTGAGCTCATGGACGCAGGGGCATGGGGACACAGGGAAGTGATGAATGCGCCTCCTCAAAGCTCCAGAATGCGCGGACACTCATCTCCTGGTTCCAATTCGAGAATACCAAAACTCGGTTCCAAGTTTTCTGATCGTAAATCATAGAGCTGCTCCAAAAAACATCGCAGCGTTACTGCTTTCGGACTGAGGTTGATGCGATGAGTAATGCCAATGTCTCTCTTACAACTAAGCCCGCTGGGATATGCATACACTCCCACGTGTCTTCAAGCACTTGACCAATAAATTGACCTTGGCAAATGGTTGGGTTACCTTTTTACTCTTTGCCAGGAAAGCATTGACGCAAAACGAGCTTTTGTGGCTATTGTATATGGGAAGAGAGAGCCAGGCCTTCCAAACACTGCACCGTGATTTTTGAGATAATTGCCCTTGCTTGCTGTATTTACGCATATAAACGCGGCCAGACTTGCACTTGGAAGTTCTTATTCATTGTATTTATTCTGTCCTCGATGGTTTTTGGCAGCTTGAGCGTCTGTATTTTGGCAGTGAGACCTAGCGTAACAAGCAAGGTGGCGATACAACTTTGGCAATATTCGCTGCCCCCCTCCCCGCCACGACGAGCGGAGAGCCATACAAAGCGGCGTCGCCTCGAAGGAGATTGGGGTTGCAGTCTGCACGGTGGCAGGTTCTCTGAAAAATGGATCCGTCTAACAAGCGACGGCGCTTGCGGCAAACCCGTGCATCCCTCCTGGCACCGCGGTGCGACGCCGATGACGGTCACGCTCGCTCGTGTCGTTGACGAGGTGTGGACAGGAACCACGCGGCACACGTTCGCGGCGACATCTCCACCCTGACTGATGGCAATGCAGTCGTGTCCCGGAATCGCGTTTTGTTTGTTTTACTTCAGCCAGCTGCTGGCATATCGCATAGACGCCCGCCCCCCCCCCCCCCCCCCAATGCATGACATGTTCCGAATGCCGAATGCATTTTACTAATGCCCTGCGGTATGAAACGTGGCTTTGCCGGTTGCGTTTCGCGGAACGCACAAAACGGCATTGGATTTGGCGTTTGCGTCGTTTGGTAATCAGGTTGGTAACCCGATCGGATTATTTCCATCCCGGCATCGTTTTGCGCGCACGACTTAAATTGCTCTCTCCACTTTCTCTGTTCCTTCCACTTCCTTTTGTCGAGGTCGTGAAGCTCCGGGCGCGCGCACACGCGCCACGCCCCACGCGCCACGCGCACACGCGCCACGCACACGCGCACACACAACGCACACGCGCCACGCGCACACACAACGCACGTGTGCGCTTGATGAGAAAGCCGTCCCAGCAGGTGAGCCGTGAGCTCCGGCGGCAAGGGACGGCCCGTGTTTTCGAGTTGGCACCAGTTGCCTCGTCTTCGTCAATTATGTCTGCGGCAGCTGCAGGTGTCTGGTGCGCGCCGATCAAAGTTCCCAGATTTTAGAAGCGAGAGCCGCTTGTTTTGGGGGGCGCTTCCATCGCTGTTGCGCGCAAGACGCTCGGCGCTCTCCGGCCCCCCCCCCCCTCGCCCCGACAGCTGCGTGGGCGCTGAGAGATCGTGCAGCTGCCGCCCGTGGCCATCTAGTGGCTGCGTGCCGTGTCGCCGGGCCTTGGACGGGAGGGGCTGCGAGTTGATAATTCCCCGCCTTTTGTGCCACGTCTCTCAAAAGCCATCGCTTTGGCGCCGAGTTCGTGAACAAATAAAGGCGCACGGATATCGATGACGATCGCGTTGCGAAGCTTGAAATGCACGAAAACTAAATATTACGGGAATAGCTTTGAAATAATAATAACAAAACATAACATTGACGTGGGGGTCTTTATATTCGGTGATGTAATTGAAACATTCAACATGGGAATACAGACTCGCAGCTGTGATTCCATCTGTGATCACTGGCGAATGCAATGTGGTCAGACGCCAAAATATACTGCGGTGCAAAAATATAAAATAACCGTCACTTCGTACAAGGCGGGGGGGGGGGTGTGAGTTGCACGCTTGACTGTAGGAGTGCTGGCACACAACCGGAGTCGGTGCTGAGCACAGCAGCTGCGCGTGTTGCACATTTCGAAATATCTCTCTCTCACTTCGCTCCCCACCAACAAACAACGTAAACAGTTCCGACTAATGTCAGCGCATTGCCCTGCGTGGGAGCGAACTGCTGGACATCTGTGAAAAATACTTTTTATAGCTCATCGGATTCCTCCAGTATATATATATAAAAATGTATATTCTGTGTGTGTGGCAAGCGAACACGTGTTTACTGGGCCCGCTGACTGCTGTGGTGCTGCAAAGCAATGCTCTTTTCTACCCCCCCCACCCCGCTCGTCCCTCCCTCCAGGCAGGGCTACGGCACGGGTGATGCTGTGGACCGCCTCGCCACGTGGTGTCCACGTGGAGCGTGTTTCACGTTGGTTTCCTTGTGCAGTGAGGGCGGTTCACCCGGACGGAGCCCGCCACATCTGTCCCGTGTGCACTTTGATCCCCCTGGCTTTGGGTAGGGGGAGCCGTACACATCGATTCTCTGACACCTTGTTTCGAAGTGGATCGCCCCGTGAACGTGACATGCCATTGCTGCTCATGCGCACGCCGATTGCTATTACTCATCCGCATCTGGGCACACACACACACACAAAGTCGCATGTGTGTACGCGCGCGCTGAGAAGCTGTACTTGCTACACTCGGCACTGTTCCGCGTGAGATTACAACACGTGTCTATGCCAAGGGAATGAGCAATCTCGTGCACATCGCGTTTGTCTCCCTTGGACAAAGTCAGCCTTCGCGTCGAGTGCGGATGAGCATTTCCGGGACAAGATGAATTGGCAGCACGACGGTCCAACTGGTTAATCTCTGGCGTTGGACTATCCGGAGGTTGCACCGAGAATTCCCCCTTGCCAGGAGGACTGGTGCTGCCACGCGCTGTCTCGGCAAATGCATCCCAAACTTGCCTTTCTCATCGATTTCTTTCTACTTCTCTTGTATTTACTTCGTCCCCTGGCTGAGTGGCAACAACGTCACGTGCATTATGTGGTTCCTTGTGCCATGCAAGTTTTAAGCCCTTGGTATAGACCTGGCTGCGTCAACCTGACCGCATCCCCTCTGTGCCCACGGGCTGCCTCGTGGTGAGATGCCGTGCTGCTGCTGCTGCTGTGCCGAGTTGCTGCAGGCTATTGACGGGCTCTCGTTTGGCATGAATAACCAATTCCTCGTCCTTTGCTGCGGTAAGCAAAGGTGGTTCTTTTGTAACGGTGCGGAATGTGGCGAATTGAGAATAAATGCGTTCGTGAAGCTTGTCGCAAATTTGTACACGTGTGTTTTTTGTTTTGTTAAAAGCCTTCCTTTGGCAACTGGGGCTGTGATGACACCATCGGTCACACTCGCTGCCCCGTTGTCTGCAGAGTTGCGTCTGAGCGTGTCTATAACATGCATCCCACTTGTCGTGGGCGCTGCATTGTGGTCACCGGGACAGCCTTCGACCGCTTTACCGTTCGCGAGAGAGGAGACATTGTCGGGAACATTTCCTATATTTTACCGTTCGCCACGTGGAAAATGGCGTTGGGTAACTCGATACATTTTGAACAATAATAACACTGGTCAACACACCTTTTCTGGCATAAGGTATTCCAACGGTTTTAATGTAATTTTGGGGTGCTGATTGCAAATCTGGCATCAGTTTTTGTCTATCACAACAGGTTTTTGAGATATTAAATATTGCATTTTCAATTAAAACTGCAGAAGAAAAATATTGAATAAATGTGGATATCTACATAAAATGATATTATAAACACACTATCCTAAAAATATAGCACCATATTTTAACACTAAAGCAGTCACTGACTCGCAACAACTTGCAATCATAAGTGACAGAGTTAATTTCGGGTAAAATCAATGAAAATGGGGTAGGCCGATAGCATAAAATGAGATGTCATGCAATCAGCACCCTGAAATTAGTCTAGAACAGCTGCAAAAGTCCAGGCCAGAATTTTTTTTTTGTTGACCAGTGTAATAGGTGTTACCCTCTTCGTCAATACAACAGGAGGTGTTAGGATGTTCAAACGCCAAATAAAAACCTTTTGCAATGAATCAAGTCTGCGTTAACCACACGTACTTGTGGTGAACATGCAAACAAACATGATCTGATAATTATTATATGTGTGTTGTTTTCAAAACAAATTTACCTACACCGGAGACGGCCTTATCAGAGCGTGTTTGTCTGCATGTTCACCACAAGTACGTGTGGTTAACGCAGCACTTGATTCCTTGTGTAATGGGTTCACTTCGGGCGCACACGGGAACTTGGGAGGCAACAGTATTTATTATCAACACAGGGGTACTCTTAACATAGGGTGGTGACCACCGACCTACCATCGCTAACACACACACCATCACTCGCTAACACTCGCTACCTCTGACTCTCTGATACGACTCGCGTGGCCAAGCCAGGAGGGGGCTACTGGTTGTCCACGCTGACTTGAGGCTTGACTCTTCATCCCGGACACGAGTAAAAGGTATCTATTATTGGCGTTTGAACATCTTAATACCCTTCTTCTTGGTTCTTTCGGTAAAGTCACGTAGAAGGGAAATAATAAAATGATAAAAATAAAGTATAATAAAATACAATTCTCACGACGTTTCGGCCACAACGCAAGCAGCCGTCCTCAGGTGAAGAACAGGGCTGTCGGCAAGACAGCGTCTGAATGAACCTACGCTGTCTTTCCGACAGACCTGTTCTTCACCTGAGGGACGGCTGCTTGCGTTGTGGCCGAAACGTCGTGAGAATTGTATTTTATTATGTTTTATTTTCATTATTTATTATTTCCCTTCTACGTGACTTTACCGAAAGAACCAAGAAGATGAATCCCTTGCAGTCACGAAAGCTTTACATCGAAATGTAAAATCTTAACACCCGTTAAGTAATTCCACACAGGGTAGGTTTTATTTTGATCGCGTTCGGATCTGAAGTCGTCTTCACTTCAAAAGGGGCGTGCAGAGAAAGGGTGGTTGGTGGTCAGTCCCCTTGAATGCAGCCCGAGTAATTAGATCATTTCTAATTAGCACATTGGCCGTGTGCATTTGGAGTCGTTCGTGTGAATCGCTAACCTACCGAGTTAAATGGATTGGCTAATGATTCGACGCACTTTGATTCTACGTGAATTCGAGACTTCGTGGGACAACGTAGAATGGAATGGCGTGAACGTGTTGTTTTGCAACAGCAGAGTGTACCCCTTTTTTGTATTTATTAGATGTTTATGCGAATTTAAAATTACGATTCTTTGTTGCCTAGCAATGGCCCACCGAGTCTCAAGACTCGATTTTGCGAGAGCTCTTCTCGGGAATACTTGATCAGCTCCGTGTGATTCAGTCTCCCAGGTCAGCTTTCACCTGCTTTAGAAAACAGAGAAAACCTAATTCATTTTACTTTCTCGGCTAGGGACGTGAGCCACAGCATTCCGCTATTTCCGTGAAGAGAGTTTGGCAATTTTGCTGGGCTATTCAATAAAAAAAACACACAACCAATATATTGACCGTTATTAGTTTCCACTTATCAATAATAGAACACCGTTTCATTGATGGACCTCCAATTGCGAATCGCGCGCAGTGGCCGCGTTGGGCAATCGGGAAGTGCTGAGTGTGGCCACGTGGGTCCGCGATTGACCCCTTGAGCTGTGACCTCAGACTCGGCCCCTGTAATTGGAGCCTCGTGATTTTTAGCTTCGGCGTTGCCCGTTGGATTTTTGACTTTCTCGACTGTACCCAGGTGGGGGAAGGACGCTGTCAACAATAATTCAGGGCAAATGAGCCAAATGGTGTGGCTTTATAACTTAAGAGGACGATTTGTTAATACTGCAGGCGCTGTGGCTCGGGGTCGCTCTGATTCGTCTCGGGTCTGTTTTCTGTTCTTTAAACAAAAAAAACCTCTCGGACCACTTGATTCGGTGCTGTTTCGTCCGAGTGAAATGTTGAACCGTTTAGCGCATCTGTTGGCCATGGAATGGGGCGTGCTGATGAGAGCTCCGCCCGGTGAAATTCTCCACAGCCAAGTTTGTATCTGCACAAGTCCAGTCCCACTATCTCTCTCTCTCTCTCTCAGCCACGATCTGCTGAAGCTCTCTCGTGGCTAGCGGACCTCGACATTGGCATTTAGCTCCTGAACATATCGGCATTCGCGAGAATAGAATAGCCACGATCTCTGCGTGTACTGGGAACAGCCACGGCTATAGAGGTGTGTGTTTTGCGAATTGAGTGTGACCGTATGAATGTCACAACTTATGTCTGTAATGCACACTTTGGAGCAAGTCCGACTGTAATGTTTCCACGCAAGGCAGAAGCGATATTAATTCTGGTGAGCACAGAGACATGGGAAACGATGGGTAACAAGATAACAATGTCAATTATGGGTAGTTCCAGTTTTACGATTTAAAAGCAGTGTTATTGTTATAGTTCACCTTGGACGGAAGCGATACCGATAAATAGACGTCGTGCAATTGTACCGGACGACGCGTATGTTGAGTGTGTGTGGGAGCGGTGGTGCAGTGGTTAGCGCATTGTGCTACGAACCCGGCGATCTGAATTAAATTCTCGCTTACGACCAATAAATAACACGTGGCGAATATTTGAACCGGTCCTGGGCCTCCCCTAGGTCGACAACGCCTTAAAAATTAGTACCTGGTGCGGTGTGTTATCAGCGCTGGGGATACAAAGGCAGCATGGTTCTGGCTACACCACCCCCTCGCTAACAGCACTTGCCCCAAAAAGTCTGTGCAGGCTATACGGGGGATCTTTGTCTTTGCTGTGCAACGCATCGCAAGCACTCGGTGTTTCCGAGCAAGCAGCCGAGTAACTCATTGGTCGACGCACCAATCAATTAGGGGGTTTTGACCTAAACTATATTGGTTGCAGAGACTTCATCAAAAAGTAGCTACGTATCGTTGGGTTGGAGCACTGCATGCACTATTCATAGGTGCTCGTTAACAACAATTTCCCCAAAAGCCTGTTAAAGGCTGCATGGGGACGGGGGGGGGGGTGGGTCTTTGTCTGTTTTATGTTACATGAACCCCACCGGCCCTGCCGCGGTGTGCAGGAATCGTTATGTTTATGGCAGCAGCGATGACTCTCATGAGTGATCATCCATCGTGGTTATCTGTCTGCGGGCGGCCCTGGTGGTTACTTCTGGGTTACCCACCTCATTTTACGACGCTTCGCGCGGGCATTGTTTGGGCGTGGAGCGCGGCGTTGTCGAGGTCCGCTCGTCGTTTTTCACCGGCGCGGAGCGGACGCACGCGGATTCCCGTGGGGGGGCCCCCCTCGCCGTTCCGAAAGCGCGCGGCGCTCGCAGCAGCGGGAGGGCGCGCGGCGCGGAAATCCGCGCGGAGTCCACGCGCCTCTCCGCAGCGGACATCGAGCGCATGCGTCTCTGCCGGGGGCCACAAAGAACCGTCGACGTTCGAAGGAAGAGCGGTTTATACGGTCGGTTACTGGTGGGACTGGCGGCACAGCAGTGGCCCGTGCGCTGTGCTATGAACCTCGTGACTTGAGTGTTCATTCCCGGCCACTGCGACGGAGAGGTGATGTCTGAACCAGTCAGGTGCCCGCTCCATGCCTTTGCCAAACCACGCGCTGACCAACGTGGTGAAATATTGTGGTCGAACATCCGCGATGACTGATAAGGGTGCGGGGGATGCCTTCGTATATCGGTGGGTGGACAAACGCTGTACGTTGATTCACGTGTATACATTCAGTCAGTGCTGGACATCACAAAGTGGCGCGGGTTGGGGGGGGGTGTAAGTCGACAAAATATCAAAGATTGGAGGATGGGGCAAAAATGTGTATTGCTAGGAGAGTGTAGAGAAATGTGGTGGTCATTCCGGTCCGAGTGAAGAGTGTGCGGCCATGAGTTGCCATGGACAGTCTCGTCCACGTGCGAGGTGGGGGAGCGTTCAGGGACGACCTTCAACGCCTCTCGAATGACTCCTTCTCGGGTTTGTCCTCAACGCCCCTCAGAATTGAGGCCGACTTCTGATTTTAATCACTTCGCAAATGTCACCGTCTCAATGAGCAACGCGTGGCGTGTCCCCGTGGCTTTCAATGTACCACACGTAATCTACGCAAACCGAGACGGATCTTGTAATATTATTCACTGCATTCATTACATGTTTGCAGCATTTTTAATAAATAAAAAATGCTTTGAGCATCTACAATCATAACCCTGATTTCCCTGATGGCGTTAAACGTCTCTGGAAAGGTCAGCCAAAACGCGTTTTACGGCGCTGTATATATAAAAAAAAATCTATCTTTCATATTTTTTCACGGACCAGAGCGAGAGAAGCTGCAGGGACAAACACCGACAACAACAACAACAACAATATTCCCTCTCCCTCCGCCCCTCCATCGCTCAGCCATGTAAATGATTGCATTGAAATTCCGCGTGGGCGTCAAGGTTATGGCTGAGAGGACAACCGCTCATTTGCAGAAAGGAGGCGAGCGCGCTAATAAATAGAATTGATGAGGGACAGGGCCTAGGCTGCACACACATACACACAAAAGCACCCGCGCGCACAGGACGCGCGCACCGGGACGGATGTGCCGAGGCCACGGTTGCATTCCTTCGGCGTGGATCCTCCTTCCAAAGCGCCGGGATATAAAACAAGAAGAAGAAAAAAAATCTACAGCGGGGAAGGCGTTTGTGTCGCGCGGTGAATGCCGATGAGTGAACGCGCGCATCGGCTCACACCGGTACCTGCCATCTGCCGTTCTCGTAATTGTATTTAGCCTCCCCCGTTGCTTGCGAATACGATTACTGTTGTGGTGCGAGAGGTGAGCGGGGGTATTTGTTTATATTAGGCCACTGGCCAAGTTTTGTTGTGGAGCGTTAATGCATTACTGCGGTCGATTACGCGAGCGTAAATATTCAGTGAGAGTGTAACGCAGCGTGATCTCGCAGGATTCGATGCCGGCGTTTTATTATTATTATTATTTATCGTTATTTAAAGTTTCTCTTTGGCTCTGTCCCGTGGCCATATGTGAATTAATTAAAACTTTGGAAATATAAAATGCTGCTTTTCAAAACAGAGCTTTGGCCATTCTGTGAACATTTTAAAAGCTGGCACGCTCCCTGGCGGGTGTTGTAAGTTGGGACCCTTTCAAGCCTGGCTGTCGTAAATGACCAAGCGGAATGGTTAGCCGAGACGGAAGGAGCCGCGTTCTTAGGACACATTAAAAGAAGCTCCACCCCTCTCGTTTGTTAATCCTGACCCACAATCCCTTGCCAGGAGAAGAGAGCTCCCATTGCTTGTTGATGTGGGGAGCTGAGAGAACATACCATGTGTGTGCTGTGTCATACCCCCACCTTCCCATTGTCAGCAGCAACAACAACAAACGCAGTGCAGCAAAATCCCTTATTGGTCTTATTGGGCTCTACTCTGCTCCTCACCTTCACCAACGTGCACTGACCAACTTGGGGAAGTATGGTCATATAACCCACGCATGAACCCACACGGTGTGAATTTTGATTTAAATCTTTCGTGACTTGCAGGGATTCATATTCTTGGTTCTTTCGGTAAAGTCACGTAGAAGGGAAACAATAAAATAACAAAAATATAAAACAATAAAATTGTCACGAGTGTTTCGATTGCAACAATGTTATTGTTTCCCTTCTACGTGACTTTACCGAAAGAACCAAGAATATAAATACCACACGGTGTGGTTAGGGGCCGTCCATAAATGACGTCACACACCTAGGGGGGGGGGGGTCAGACATTTGTGACGATGTGTGGCGAGGGGGGGGTTGAGAAATGTGATGTCATATTTGAGGGGGGGGGTCTGACTTTTTGTGACATCGTGTGACGAAGGGGGGCGGGGGGGGGGTCAGAAATCGTCCAAAATAGCGTTACGTCATTTATGGACGGCTCCTTAAGGCCCTAGTCTAGCAGTGGATTGAAAAACATGGCTGATCTGAGGACCGATCTGCTGCTGCTGAAAATAATGAAGATGTTTGCCAGCTATCGCCCGATGAAGCTGGTTGTAATCACCAGCGAAACGCACTCGAATTGTCAATATTGTGGGTTGACTCTCCCTACACTCCGGTGTGCTGAGATAGTAACGAATTGGCACATTTAGTTCACGTGACAAACCTTACTAATGGGCGAAAAATAATACTTCGTCAAAACCGCGTCCCATTGTTTGGCAAGGCCGTCGCATGAGCAGTGCAGACAATCGACTCGGAGGTTCCAGCGTAAAAAAGACTTGAGCAGATGCCATCGTCAAGCTAACGACCGTTCACATCACCCAATTCTTCAGTGATGTTGTGGTGGTGTTTTTTTCTCTCACGAACATTACTTTAAGTTTGAGCTTACTAAGGGCACGTTGGCTGACAGAGGGTGCTGGGAGACGGGAGGGGAGGGAGAGTGGGGATGAATTTCAAAATAAGAACAAAGCTGGTGAGGTGGGGAAAAAAGGGAGGCATTCGGGAATTTGCCCCCTGCCAGTCTCCCCCCCCCCCCCCAATCTCTGGTATGCGCTATAATTATCTGCAACAATGACGTTCAAAGCTGAAACTCGTTCAGAATGGAAGAGCCCCTCCGTGGAAAGGTACGGGGGATCTTTGTCCTTGGTTGGCTGTAAGCGATACACTTTTTTTGCCGTGGCCTTCTGGCACCCAATGCGACGATGCATCATAGCTTTTTTAGTTTTTTTACCACGGGAGAGGAGGCCCCAATGAATTCTCGTTAAGGTGCCACCGTCGTCGTTGAGACGAGAGTGTGCGTGGCATGCCTCGCGAAGTTCCGTGTGCCGCCTCGCAGGCCCCACCTGCCATTCCCACTCCTTCCGATTCCTCATTAATGAACCTTATGGCGGGACCCGGACCCCGGGGTCCCGAATAAACGCAAGTCAAAATCGCAATTAATTCATTTTTTTGGCGACTCCGTCCCACCGCGCACATAAACGCCGCGACCCGCCTTGGCGCGGATCGTTCTGTTGTCGTGTCGTGTCCAAGCGCAGCAGCGAGGACGAAAGCGCAGAAGAAACAAAACTTTGAAACTTTGATTAGCGCATCCTGTAGAGCTCGTCGAGAGGAATAGATGGCCGTGTCGTTCGCCTTCAACAGACATGAAATGACGTCGCGACGCAGTTTATGCGAGAGCCAGGGGCTTATGGGACCTCGGGGTCCCACCGTGAGGTTCATTTCATCAACTCAACAAGACATCGCATGCAGAGACGGAGCCGCGGCAAATCGACAGTCGTATACCCTGTGCCGCAAATTTCATTCGCAACGACACCGGGCGGTTTTTTTGTTGCTTTTGAAACTCCAACTTGACCTAATCACTCGCAAGTACAGTTGAAAAATAATAATAACTTTGACCCTCTCTGGCAATAAAACAAGTTGTGTTAAGATGTTCAACTACTAAATCGATACCTTGTGCAAGGAATGAAGTGTGCATTGACCACACATGGGTACTTGTGGTGAACATGCAAACATGCTCTGATAATATTTGCAGTCTTTGAAACTGATTGGACTACACACGTACAGTATATATCTGTCCGTCGGCTGTGCAAACTCAAACTTTTTTAAATCCCTTTTGAGATTTAGCCAGATCGTAAATAGTTTAGAACGGTGGTCTCTGGAGATTAGCACTCTGGCGTGTAAGGCCGTGGATGGTTTTAATCAAGTGCCTTTTAAATTTGGAAACGTCCAAGGTATATCTTTTATTCAACAGCCAAACACACGCAACTTGGGTCGACACCAGACAACAGCAGCGGATCCACCTAAGCCTTGCCCTGCTGTCTGACCTCGCTATTAGCGCCAATTATCCCCTCCATTTGAAGCAGGGTTGCTGGTTAGTGTCTCTCTTGGAAACGCCAGTGTCTTTGTCGCTCTTGAAAATATAATTGCACGCAATTATGCAATTTCAATTGAGAGGTTTAAATTTTTTTAAATTTTATATGACTACAGATTCATTAATCATATTACTTTTTATTCATCCCGTTCTAAAGATAAACGTTCAATGCAGTTCCAATTACTTTTAACATTAAAGACGCGAGTTATAACGTGGTTGTTTGTCCACTCTGGGTCCTCTTCAAATGTCAACATCGGCAAATCGTAAATCTGACACCGTTGTCCCATAATGCACTGTAATGACCTCGTGTAAGCGAACGCCAATGGGCTGTCTCCTTTCACAAATCATCGTCGCCACAAACCGCGAGCCAACAGCTGGGCTCCATCAAATAAGACGTCAAAGCCCTCCCGGTGCCGTGTTTTAACGGCCTGAACCGAGGGGCGGCTCGCTAACAGCCCGTCCCGTTCCCAACCCCGGGCAGGCAGGGCCCAGTAATCTCCACCACCACCACCACGCTCCGCGCACAAAAATCATAGCGTCCGACTTTCCCCGGGTCGTATCTAATGGGACCCATCTGAAG